TTCTTGATTTTGAACTTAACATGTGACAGGAACTCTTTCGCTGTAGTTTATATGCCATAGCTCATGTCTTAGTATGATATGAAATCCAGCCAATAATCCAGCTGGTTTATTGAACAAATAATGGTTAAAATATGTGTAATATGTGAACCCATTCATGGAGTGAAAGGCTGGGTTTACATTTTGAGCAAAGGCACAGTGTGGATTACTTGTTTGCAGCTTAAGCCTGTTACACAAATCCAATCTTCAGGTTTCTGAAGCATTAGGGCTTCATATGTTATATAGAAAACCAACCAATTGAATAAACCTTGGTTGAGCCAATTGTGACTGTGCTGTATGTGCAATTTGTTTTGAAAACCAGACCTGAATAAAGCTCAGAACTTGTGCCCACCAAAATTAACACCTGATCACCTCAAACTTCGTTCTTGCAACAGAGGGATTAGGAATGGAGGATTTAGCTTTGCTCCTAATTGGTAAACAACCAGAAGTCAGAAAATTTTGCTCACCTGCTGTAGGAAATTTTAAAAAATCTACAGGTAGATTCTGATCTATCCCCCGTTTCTGCTCTGGAATACATTGCACTGGCAGGACAATTTATTTTGGTCATAAATCTATTACCTGCTTGGTCTTTATGCCAAAGCTTTTTCTTAACTTAATCCTAAAATAATCCGTGCCTGAGGGGACTTGGAGGAAGTGGGGAAAGGGGAAATACTTTGTTTTCCTTCTAAGCGAACATCTGTAAGCCAGGGCATTTTTTCTTTGATCCTGCTAAAATGCAGCCATTGCAGAATAGTCCATCATATCCCGGTTGTTCAGAAAAAGGGTGGGGGGGTGGGAGAGGACCCCCATGACTAAATATGGAGAAAATACCATGCACACATGTACTCAAATACAAAAGCCAGGAACGCACAGGAGGTCCCTTGTTGAAGGCTGAGAAATGTTGGCTGCACAGAAAACGGTAAGCTTCTTTCAAAGGAAGAAGACCGACGTTGTCCCCCGCTCCTAGCCCTAAAGGGCTAAGCAATCAAAGCTTAATTTGAGCGGTCCTAAACCCCATTTTGACTGTGGCAGGGAACGATCGGAAAGAGGATCTCTGTGCATGTGCAGGGGGGCCCCAACGGGAAGCTGTAAGGGAATGTAAGGTTCCAGCAGGTTTGCCAACCCACGGAAGAAAATCCAGCGTCCACTTCAGGGGTGGAGGGGTGGGCGAGCTTCCAATAAATCTCCGGAGCTCCCTCCGCCTCGATCTCTAAAGAAAGGTAGAGAAGGAGGGAAGGAGGGAGGGGGCAGGCAGGCCCTCGACTCGGCGCGCGAAATCCATCCGGGAACCGGCCTAGAAGCCCCGAGTCACACGACGGCCGCTGGACAGGGCGTCCCCGTTCAGGAACGCGCCTTCCCTTCCGCGCAGAGGGCACCAGCAGCCGCCCCGAGAGCGCACGGGCTGAATTCGCCGGCTGCCTGGCCAGCCCACGCTGCGCCACCACCACCCGTGGAGCATCTCCTGCCTGCTGCCCGCTTCTCCTCCTGCGCTGGAGGGGCAAACCCCGCTGCACGTCGCCCCCCCCCAAACCCCGCCAGGGACGGCTCCTCGGCCAGCGAGCCCTGCGCGTTTCCTCCACCTCTCTCCAGATGCCGCATTGGAGAGCCCGCTGGCTCGGCCGCCTCCCAAGGCCCCGGGCGGCACCCGACCCCCGTCCCTTCCCAAGCCGCCGAGACAATAAGCCACGGCGTCCCCACCTTTCTGCCACCAAACCGCGGCTCACTTCTCTCCGCCGCCGCCGCCGCCTCCTGCCACGGGCGCCCGGCGTCTCCTTCGGCTCAAGACGCGCCCGGTGCGCGCATCGCCGTCCCCCTTCCGCTGCTCCTCCGCCAGCATCACAGGTGGCGCCGGGAAGAGCCCGGGCGTGCCAGCAGGATGCTGCCGCCGCCGCCACCTCTCGATGGAGCAGCCTCGCCAGCCCTGGCTGCGGAACGGACTGCCTAGCCCGGCTGGGTTTGACAAGAAGCCCCCGCCTCCGAGGCACGAGGCCGGATCAGCTATTGGGCGCGTCCCCCGCCATTCACCCGGAGCCGCTGGGGGAGCCAGGCCGGCCTCACACGTGGCCAAAGCGCTTCTGGGGAGAGGGGCGACGGAGGGTCCTGGTCGCATTGATGGAGATTTTGTTGGGGTGTGTGTGTGTGTTTTTTCTGGGTGCCTTCGGTTTAGCCCAAGCCAAGCCACCTACGCAGATTAGATTGAAAAGAGACTTCATGCTAAACTTCGGGGTTTCGTTTACATCACCAACCTTAATAATCAGATCTCCCCGTTTTGAGTGGGAGAGGGGGAAGTGTGAACCCTAATTCGGATTTATCTGGTAAACCACATTCAAGCAAACATTACGGTGGCTTTGTGTTTGGCCAAGGGGCAGTAGAGACCCAGCCAGCACCGTTGGATGGCTTTCTGTGCATCCAAGTCATGGAGATGATTCAGTAAATCTGGTTCAGTTAGTTATCCCAGGAGACACGTGTTATGCAAACCCAGCCGGGGTGTGCAAGAAGGGAGAGGGCTCAGCAATAAATAAGTAAATTGTGGGTGCAAAAGATGCTGAACTTTAATCTGTAGTAGTGCCATGTAAAATTCATATCGGAGGTCTTGGAGACACACACACCCCCGTCAGCACTGGAGGGCAATCCATGGCTTAAACCCTGATGTGGTTTATATTGGTTTGGAGTGGGGCACAAAACCCAGTGAATTTTGTAGCTTTTTTGGGGGGGAGGTTGTTTTTAAAGAAGCCATAGCTTGGCATAGTATTGTAAACCCAGCGACTGAATTTACATGTACTAGCATTCTTCGGTGTTCCTGGGTCAAGTACCTAAGAATGAAACAGGCATGAGGGAAGCGTGTCAAAACTAGGGCCTCTTGATGGTTTAATTTCAGCGCCTTCTAGTTCTGTGGAAAATGACAAGTATCCTCCATATCTGCAGGTTCAAATCTCAACTAAAAATTACGTAATAGTTATTCCTACAGCACACTGCTAACTCGGCCAAGATGCAACAGTGTCACTATCCAAAACCCTTTCTTCGTAACCAAAGAAAAACCAAATTATGTTGGGGGCACAATGATTAAAGTAGCGGGCTGGTTTAGCAATGGGAGAGAAACTAAGGCACCTAAAAAAAATGACATGCCTGGATAAAGAAAATGCTATAACTGCTACAAATCAGACCTGGATTCCAATTAAGGACAAGGGATGCACTTCATCTTACCTTACTATCTTGTCTATGAGCATCCTTGGAGCATCTAGTATTACTGAAAAGCAGAGTTCTGAAATGGGTGATTGATCAAGTCTTGTTTTGCTGGGATCCCATTCTTCAAAGATGTAGATTCTGTACAGATATTAAATTTTAAAGTTGCGTCCAGTTTGGACAGAATCTTTTTAACGTTACAATGCCTGGTTGAATCCCATTTTTACAATAACCTGTGTTATTTATTTATATATATATATATATACAGATTTCTTTTTGCTGACAAGAGTTAAAGATTTAAGTGGGAGACTAGTATAGCTGTTTCGGACTCATTTTGTCCTCATCAGCTAGCCACACCCTTTATGGGATTCGAACCTGGGCAGTCTACATGCTAGGCAGTTGTATTAACCTAATGAGGACAAAATGAGTCCGAAATAGCTATACTAGTCTCCCAGAAATCTGAATTTGTAATGTATTGCAGTAGTGACTTGAGCCTGCTTAACGCCCCTAGTTGGGGGGCTGCAAGGCAAAAGAGATTATTAAAAAAGTAGAACTGCAGTATAGCAGTCAAAATGCCTAAGGTGCAATCAATCAGACCGTCTGTCTGAAAAACTCTCGGTATATATACATACATACATACATACATACATACATACATACATACATACGTATGTATGTATGTATATGTTATATCAGGAGGGGAAGGTGCTTTTCTTCCTCCCAAGCTGACACTTGCTATCAAGGATTTTGATTTCAGCTTTCATCCTTTGCCCCTCTAACGATGGTCCTCTCTACCATATTTCTGCAATTGCCTATGTTCCCATAAATTTAATATCTTCAAAACACTAATGCATTCCTGTAAGTGCAAGTCAGATGTTTGTACTATAACCTGTTAGATTCCAGAACTATTTCCTTCAAACCAATTACAGTCAAAGGTGGTTAAAGCATCCAATATAAACTAACGAAATGAAGGTGATAACTATTACGCATGAACATTTGGGCTAGAAGGTTGTGACAAAGGATGAGCCTTTGCAGAAAGCACTGTTATATGAGTTTAACCGCCCCCCTCCACATCCCCAAACATCCAGCCCCCTCTGCTTTAAAAAACTACAGCAAAAACTACACCCACACCCCATCTTCAGACTTCAAAGAACACTTGGCATTCCATTTGCCTGTCATTTTCAGAGTCTTGGCAGCTTCAAAGGTTTCTCTGCAGATCAGAAAATCTGTTGTTCCCTCCATAATGCTGAAGACCACAAAAGACTGGGCAAGAGCAAGGAGTAGAAATAACTCAAGAAACAGCTGGTGAGAAGAAACGACTTTGCTGGGTCACATTTTCTGCTAATAAATTTATATGTTGCATTGTTTCTTCTTTTGCTCCTTCACCATTCCATGTTCTAGAATGTATACTTTTAGCACAGAGGAATTTGTGACTTAGAAAAGAGGAAAAGCCTCTTTTGTAGCCTGGGAAAGTGGACAGATAATCAGAAAGACTTTCCCAAATGGACAATCTCTGCATCTCAATGGCAGCAGAGAAAAAGAGAAACCCACATTAATTATTGAAATACACCCAGGCAGCTGAGCCATACGAGCTGCAGAACAGACCGCCGATGCTACCCGTATTATGTTATTGCTTCTCTCAATCTTCCTACCTCCATTCTCTGGTCTTCATAGAGCTGCTCCAGAAATAAATATGATCTTTCTTCTCCAAAAAAAGCTTCTGCAGATATCTGAGCTTGCCTAGTTTCCACTGAAAAAAAGACAGTTTTGCTTTCCTTCAAAGATCATCTTTAATGAGCCAATAGTCTTTGCTGGGTTTGGGGATTACTGTTAAGGAGAAGAAGCAGAATGCTTCCAGGGAGCAAGTAGGAAACTTTTCTTTATATGTTTGCTTAAAAGACAACTGCCCAGTTTGCGCGTGAACACATTGGGAAAGAAAAGATTTAAGAGAACACGTTTCCTTCTACCTCTAGTTCTTTTCCTTACTACTTTAGTACAAGTTATAAGAAAAGGGGGAAAAGAAGAGTAGATATGTTGTTTTATCAGATGTTTAAGGGCAGCAAGTGCTTTCCAGTTCACTAGCAGCAGTCCTGGAAGTGCCACAGGTCTAAAACACACTCTAATGTCAGTAGCAGCAGTAACAACACATCCTTGTTGAGAGGGAAGGCGATACTTCCTTTTGAGTAGAAAAGCCCTCGTGGTAGTTAGACGTAGCCATATCCCATCTGGACCAGCCAACTGCCTTTAATACTTGGTGGTGAAGGACTGGAACTCCAGAGCAGTGATCTGCCTCTCATTTGAGAACACGGCCTGATCAATGCGAGACATGGGGCTTCCGACGCTACGTAACCAATTCTTCCTGGGCGGGGAAGAAGAAGCAAAAATTAACAGCGCAAGTCCCTTCGTCTCCTGTTTTACCCAGAACAGGAATGTAGCTATTTACAGACCCCCAAAAGCCGTCAGGTGCAATGTGCACATTTGTTGGAAGGCAAGGCCCATTTTTATTAGACATTTTAATACAGATTCACCATGAATCATTGAAAGGAAGTAAGTACACTGCCAAAAGTTACCAGCAGAACAAATGGTTCCAATTAACTTGAAGTAAATAATGTTGCAGAAGGGGAAAAAAAGTGGGGAGAAGATTTAAATAGGCTTTCACTCCTGAAGATTTAAATAATTGTAATGGGATAAATTCCCACGTAATTGGAAAAACAAGGCTTTTATAGAGACTCTTTTAACATTGCACCCTGAATATAAGCCCTCCCCCTTTGAGTTCAAATGTGTACATTACCCCCATCTTAAAGGAGAATTGGAGAGATTAAACTTATATTAAATATTTTTTCTAATATCTTTGCATGATTTTGGAACATATAGTGGTAGAATGGATGCCTGAAATATACAGGTAGCTCTCAATTTATAACCACCATTGGGACTATAACTTCCATCAGTAACGGATGCAGTTAAGACAGTTATGACCTTTTTTCTGAAGTCATTAAATGAATCCAGCTTCCTCCACTGACTTTGCTTGTAAGACAGCTGGGAAAGTTGCAAATGGGGATCGCATGACCCCAAGACACTTCAACTGTCATAAATACATGAAAGCATTGCTTATCAGTTGTCAAAGGCACAAACTTTGATGTGACTGCAGGGACACTGCCATGCTTATAAATACAAAGACTACTCCAGAGGACTATCTATACTTGTCATTTTATAACCTGAGCCAAATATATGTGTATATATATATATATATATATATATATATATATATATATATATATATATATATATATATATATATATATATATAATTGGTAGAATAAAACTAAGTAGACTCTAGTTCAAACCTATATCGTGAGCCATCCAGAGTTGTGTTTTTTAAGATGGGTAATCACACAAGTCTTTTCAATTAATTAATTAAATAAATTTGAGGCATTAAATCAACTGAATGACACTGAGTCACTTACTCCTTTGTCACCTGATTACTTTGTCTCTGTAATTTCATTTTGAGAACAAAAGAAAACAGATATGCTATCTTTAGCTCTAAATGTAATCATTTCAACAGGAAAAAAACAGGCTTATTCAATTTAAAATAACTTCCCGAAGAGTTCTGAATTTGTGGCAGCAAAACCAGTATCTTGTAACATCTTACAGACTAAGTACGGTAAATACTGTGTTATCAATTTTCATGGACTAATAGATTAATTGTCTTATAAACTATATTCCACACAAAATATTTTGAGCCCTTTGACTAAGATCAAGTGTAGTATCTTATCACAAAACCCTTTCATCATTGTAACATTTTTAGATTGTTTTCTGGGCAAAAGGTCACTTTTTTTGCTTTGTTCATACAACATGCTAGACCAGGATAAAATTGAATTGCATAATTTAATATTGTAGGAACCCAGCTATTGGTTTACATGAATGAGATCATCACACTAAGCTAGAATGTGGTTTATTCTTTGAGTGGGCATAGCAATTACGCTTTTAACATTTTAAGATTTTATGCAAATCCCACCTTTCACGCCATGCTGGGTTCTGTGCATTAAAGGGGCAAAACACAATCTAAATGTGATTTAATTTACATTTAATTAAAATCAAATTAAATACAGTCACCATGACCACTCCCCGTGTATTTTACAGTAATTTACATTTGCAATTTGGCAGCAGAGGGAAAGGCAAACACAGTGATCAGTTGGAAGACCATGCCCAATACCTGGGTGTATGTGACTGCAACCAAAACTGAAATGGATATAGCTGTTTGATTTTTAAGCAAAAAAAAATATATAAAAGCAGTCCACGCCTGTGAAATCTAAAGAAAAGTTCTAAGGATCATGTTATATAAAGAACACTATGAATGAAGTTTTCCCATGTAACATAAGAAAACAACTTTCTGCACGTTGCCCACACACAATACATTTGCCCAGCTGGTATTCCATTTCAAAAACTGAAAGGCTGCCTATTTATTCCCACCCAATTCTTAATTGCAAAAGAATGGTGAGAGCCACATGGATGGTTGTACACCTTTGCTTTCTTATCCTGCACTGACCTGGGAGGAGAAAGAAAGGGGTAGGTGGAGAAGAAGAATGTGCCTTGAGGAATAGAGTTGCTGTGGATTATCTCCTTCCTATTTATCCCTGGTTCCTCAAAGCCAGGGATGGAGTAGTGTGGTTGCTATGGAAATGGCCCCAATTTCCCCCTCCCCCTGAGAGATGAAGGTAGACAATATGTAGAGGCAGGTTGCTATGGCAACTGTCCCAGATTATTATTTTTTGCTCATGTTCTCTCTCTCTCTCTCTCTCTCTCTCCCTCCATCCCTCCCTTCCCCCCCCTCTCTCTTCAAGGTGATAGAAGATCTGGTTGCTATAGTAATTGCCTCTGGCTGTCATCTTTCTAAAGGTGACAAAGCACTATTGCAGAAGTTGTTACACCAACACAACACAAAGCTTGCAGGTCACCCTAAACCCAGACCCTGCTTTCGCTCACTTGCTCTTGTTTTCCTTCCACCCCCACACAGAATCACCTCTGCTATGGCTCAAAAATTCATAAAGCAATTTTCTTCATCTCCTTCTGGACCAGTTCTTTAATTGCAAGCTGACCCAAGTCCTAGATTTAAGGGTGTCGATTCCCTCTGGAGGCAGAGTCTGGAGAGGTACCCTACATAGGCATTCTCAATGGAGGGTGGATGGAAGGGAAAGACTCCTATAATAGGCTGATAGGGGCTATCTTCAGATCACAGTTGTGAAAATTGTTATAATAGGCTCTCATTTCTATTACGACCACAATCGAAACCAGAATTTCTATTGTTAAGCAAGGGGGTTGTTAAGTGAATTGCACCCAATTTTACATTTTTCTGCCACAGTTATTAAGCGAAGCACTGCAGTTGTTAAATGAATTGTCAAGCACAGGAAATCAAGAGTCAGGGCAGTTCAGATGAATATATAGGTTTATTTTATGCTAACGCTCTCTACAAGAATCTGAACTACTAACGGTCAAAGCAACTTGGCAGTAGACAAGAGTCAACAGAATTCAAGGTGGGCTGGACTTAGATCTCTTTGGGGCCTGAAGGGAATAAAGACTGATGATGTGTTTGACCCTTCTCTCAGGCTCAACCTGGTCATCTTCTACATGAATCATATAATCATTAAGTGAATCCACTGATGAAGCTTAATAATGTGGAACCTAATCAGAATGGGGTTTCTGAACTTTCTCTTTTAGGAGCAAGAACAAGAATGGTTAGTACACTAGCCTCACACCTTAACTTGTAGATCTTAATTTTTAAATAAAAATAAAATATACTCTGATCAAGAGAGGAACATAAATAAGCTTACATTGTATTCAGCACCCTGTGGATGGCTGCACAAGTAGTTGCTTAGCTGTTTGATTAGCAGTAACCAGGCCAGTCAACAATTAAGGCCTGTGGTGGAACATCTTCATCACCAAAGGTATTCTATCTTTGGCCAGCAAGTGCAAGAAAGAAAAAACAACCCAAACAATTCCAACTTCACTCCTGACAACTTGTACAGTACTGGATTTCAAAGAACACTCCAATTCCAAAATTGGCCTTCAGTACTGGTAATTCAGGAGTCATGTGAAGTCCTTTTCCCTGTCTCCATACCATCTTCTACGTCTTTATTTTTTATGGTCAGGCACTATCACCCACTTGTTTCAGTAAAACCATTCCAACTGGAGGAGCCAGGTTTCCTTACTTACATAATTTCCACTTTCTCCTTTGTTCCCTGCACCTGTCCAGTCACAGTCCCATGGGCTGTATTCTTCACCCAGCCAACCAGTCCTAGTTTTCTCCCTTGCTCTTCTGTGTACTAATAGGAGGAGAAAATAAACAGAGATCATCATCGGAAAGATGTTCTGCAATTATGTACACTATACTGTATACATTGCTTGGTATCTCTCCATTTGATGACTCTAGCTAAGTGTGTGAAGTACCTTTATTGAGAAAAACTAGTGTCAAGGTTATATCAAAGTTCAATCAGTTATGTCTGATTAGAGATGACTGTTTCCGATAGGCAGCGGCTTCCGGTATTAAGGGAATGAAGGAACTGAAAAAAATGCAGCTTAGCAACAATAGCCTGATTTTCATCTTGGAACTTTACTATATTTTCCCAAATACTGCCTACTTCTTCTAAGGTACAGAATTCATATGGAGATATCAGCTTGCTCAGATTTAGCAATTCTTGAGGTTTTCAAGACCATGACAAAACTGAGGAATTTCAAGCTGCAATAACACTTTTTTTTAAATTTTCCAGCAGATATTTTTAAGACCCAGATAAGCACCCAGTTGATGCCAAGATATATGCAAATGTCCCAGACTTGTGCTGAGATTATTCAGTGTTATCTGAATAATGGCTTACTGTTACATTATCAGCCTGCCTTGTTCCTTTCATCCCAATCTTGCTTCCAGTCCCCAACCTCTGTTGATAGCTGATATGAGCAGCTTCTCTGCTATTGCTCCCATGATTCCATTCCTGGTCTAATATCCAGGAGTACGGTTCAAGGATTATACGTGAACAATAATGGTTTTCTTTATATAGAAATAGAAGCTGGAAGGGACCTTGGAGGTATTCTAGTTCAGCCCCCTGCTCAAGCAGGAAAACATCTCTTCATAAAAATCTCCATATGGTACATGGTATGATATTTACAGCTTTTAGAAAACCCAGTTAAAGTAACCCAGTTACAGTTAAAACAAAAACACAACTTCCCTCATTTTGCCATGATATACATCTATCTCTGTATCTATACATCTAACACTCTCCTGTTTGTCTGTGTGTAACCTTTAATTGGGCAAAATGGTATATCGTAGGGGCGCAATTTTTGAACCAAGATACCTCAAATGGGCTAAATTACAGAATGCATCCAAAATCTGGCACCCATAACTCCCATGAAATAGAAATTTGGCAAATTTTATAAAACATTTTATAACATAAAAATTACCACAAAGCATTTTATGACATAATACAAAATATCATAAAACATGTCTTGTGGTCAACTCCTCATGTTTTGATTGTACTATACCACAGGTGTCAAACTCGCCACGTGACGTGTCACGACGTATTGCGACTTTTTTCGCATTGCTGGAGCTGGGGTGGGTGCAGCCTCCACATGATGCAACCAGCCCATGGGCTGGCAGTTTGGCACCCCTGTACTATACAGTTCAGCATGGACTATTTTCAGGGCAGATACCTCTCTGGATATCTTCTTGAATTTTTAAGAACTTTTCCAATATATTAGAAGTTCTGCCATTTTTGTAGGCTGTAAGAATCTAGTAAGGAAAAATCTCTGAAGTGCTGACCCAATGGGTCATGAGTTATCTAGTAGTATATTAGAAAAGATACAACTTACCTTTCTAAAGAAGACACCTAAAAGAGAGAAGAGATACAGTAGATATCATTATAGCCACACATTAGTAAACCAATATCTACTGTATTTCTAAATTGTCATAAGTGAGCCATTGGGCTCTTCCAGTAGTGATTATAAACTGGAGTGTCCCACAACAGAAAATTAAAGCACCAATAAAATCATTTACAAGATAGCCCAGTGGTTGATAATTAAAATGTTTAAAGCGAGGAATCCAATCATTCTGTTTTGCTGGGCTCTCCCTACATTTTTAAAAACTTTTATTATTCTTAAAAATAAGTCCATCTTTCAAGATGTTCAATTTTTTATAGTAGTCTTTTTCAATCCATTGCTGTCCAGATGGCCCACCACAACCTCTCAAAAATATGGGATCAATGGAGGTTATAGCACATCTTGAGGGTACCAAGATGCAAAGACTGTCTTAAGACATCACCATCTTAAGATGATATAGCCACAACTGATCCAACTGAATTACAGCCTTCTTTGAAGGGCTTGCCAATCATTTGTCTGCAATCAATTATTGATTAATATTTCTTGAAATTATGAATGTGCTTATGTGAGTAGAACTTTTTTTTTTTACTCCATCATAGGTTTATGTATGACAGAAAAAAAGAAATTCTTGCTTTCCAATCTTTCAGGATCCAGCACTGTGGAGTTAACTCATTTACAGTCCTGGTTTGTTTAGATATAATAAACCCTAATCTAGGTTAAACATCTTATTAAACCATCCCTACCTCATTTGTTTGCCTGTTCATAGAAGAGATAAAGCAGGCTGTGTGTTGCTTTCTTTTAATATTGTGGATAAATAATCTAGAATTCAACTCAACATAACTGTGGTCTTCAGCCCTCCAAAAGATCTTGCTTTCTAATTTCTTTTCTACAAACAGTCCACAGTACTTTTGGTCTCCTGTGCCTCTTGTGAAATACTTTTATCTTTTCCCCTTCATTGCCATCATAGAAATTATATTCTTAATCAATGTTCTATTATAGACAATTAGAATAACAGAAATTGAATAAATAAATAAAACGTTGAATTTTTAGAATAATACTAAACATTCTGTGGCATTTCCATAAGCCAACAAATAGCCAGGAATTGCAGATAAGACCTTTTACTGGCCTATTATGTTACTTATTTGTCTATATTTTTATCAGCTTTTATGCTGCCTCAATCATGAAGTGACTCTGGGTATAGAATTGTGAAAACAATCCCTTATCTGAACTTTAAGAGGCAGGTAGAAATCCCTCAAAAGCTAAACATCACAGATTCTAATTCCTAAGTATTACCCACCCCCCCAAAGAAAGAATCCAACCCCATAATACAGCATAAGTCTCAGAAGAGTTCTGCCCTCTTTTGATTCCTCATTTCTGGAGAATGGCAGCTGAAGCTATATGACTTCTTGAATGTCACACATCATGTTATTTTTAAAATAGATTATGTGGGGCTGTGTATGTTCAATTTAAAAGAGGTTGAATCAAAGATGCTCAGCCTCCCTCCCTGAAATGGCCCACATCTCAGTACTGCAGAGAAACAGCCTCTCGTTCTCTGCTGGATGATATGTAGATTCATTACTAAATTCAGTTAATGCTCCCAATTAACTTCTTCATACATTCCCCTTGTGTACCGGCTTAAATTAAGTTCTTTAGAGTCTTTGCAGATAGCTTTTCAAGCTATTCCAGACTATCTTACTGCAAATTAGAACTGAAGCAAGATTCTGCAGTTGGACAAGCAGACTGCAGGCATCTTATTTCAAGGACTGTACTATTTGCAGAGCAATCCGCTGGAAAGCCAAGCAACAGTATCAGTGTACAAAAATCCTTAGCAAGTAGTGCAAGAATAACACAAAGGGAGGAAATAAAATCTAGACTCACCTTGGACTTCCCCATAAATCTCATAGTCGACTGCCCAGAGCTCGGAAGAAGCCATTGTCCAGACCAAGTCACGAGGAGCTGACAGCAGCTTCCAAGGAGACTGAGAGGGGTAGGTATGTGTGCTATCTGATCTGCTTTACACTGCAGTTTGACCAGCCGGGTGTTACTAAATTCAGCAGTAGGATCGAAAGCAATGTGTGGCCCACCTGGAATAAAGAACACAAAGAAATGTGTTTTGTTATTCAGTCATAGTTAACTCTGTGCTAAATCATCTACTTTGTATGCAGAAAGACATTTCCAATGTTTCCAAGCAGGGCTGGGGAACCTCCTGGCAAAAACCCTGGAGGATGATTATCAGTCTGTATCAATGCTAGTCTAGAGGGAGCAAGGCAAGGCAATTTCCTCTTCCCAAACCCACCCTCATAATAGCTGCACAGGAAGGAACTTTTGTAGGGAGATAGCAAAAAGCTAATTCAAATTCACAACTGGAAGGAAACTTGTTCTCATCTTACATTTTAGCAATTGGTTTCTATACCTATAGGCTGGAAAAGGACAATTATATGTCTAACATTTTATACAAGGACAAAAAAATGAGATTTTTTTTTTAAAAATTATCCTGCCAGCAAGGCTATTTTCTAGCTCTTCCTCTCCATCTTCCTATTTTCCGTAAGCATAAGAATTGATAAGAGGGAAAAGGATAAATAGTTGCAGACATCCTTTTAGTTACATGGTATACAGCCCCAAAACAAAATGTGCACGCATTTGTTAAAGAACTGTGCCAATCTCAGCCCCCATGAACATGCGTGGGCCTCGCACTAAGAACTGCCAACTCAAAATGTCAGATTAAAGAGAGATTCAGGATGTGTTCCTAAGAGTTTGAAATAAGATGTATTTCCTCCTATTCCATGTGTGTCTCTTTTTTCTCTATTCAAACATTTTAGGCCATGTTTTAATAATTCTATTGCTCTGATACTCCAGGTACATTTCTCATGAGATTTATACCACTCAAGTAATAGTCTGCTGACCTAAAATTTTAAGAAATCTTATGGTCAATGATATCACTAAAATCTTTAAATGGGGACATTAGAGTCACTATATGAGATGAGTAGCTATACAAATGTATATTTAATAAATAAATATGGCACAATTTTTTAATTCATCATAGCTTTCTTTCTTGGATGGTATGGAGAATTTTAAAAAGTAAAAATAAAGTCACAGTACAACCGTAAGGTCAATAACACTAGTACTGCAAACAGCACAATCTGACTGGTGGAAAGTGTTGATCACATGACCTCAGGATGTTGCAACTGTTGTAAATAACATGCTGGTTGCCAAGCACCCAAATTTGTTCATGAATCTGTGCAGATGCTGTGACAGTCATAAGTGCGAGGCTCTTTTCCTAAGTAATTTTTTTCAGTGCTGTTGTAACTTAGAATGGTCACTAAACGTAAGACTAGGACAATCTATATCAGGGGTGTCAAACTCACAACGTCACGTGATGTGTCATGACGTATTGCGACTTTTTTGCTGTTGCTGGCAATGGGGTGGGCGCGGTTTCGCTATGATGCATCCGGCCCATGGGCCGGCAGTTTGACATCCCTGATCTATATAGACAAGTTTCAAAAAGCATTTTTAGCTGCACTTTAATTTCTAGTGAATCAAAATAAACTATAAGGCTATTAGAATGTGAAAAGTATTTTTTTCTTAAAGGGACTTTAGTCCAGTTGCTAGGAATTTGTTCTGGTTTCCCTCTCACTTTTTGTATGCTTTACTGTACTGAATTGTTTTCTTTCTTTAAACACAATACTAAATGAACAGCATCAGAATGAGCAAAATAAATCTCTGCATCGTTTATTGAATCTTCTCCCAGTGTATGCTTAATTTGTTACAAATTGCAATTGGCAGAGTTTAGTCCTGGTTTCCATTCAAAACCCAGCATCAAATCAGTCTAGCAGTTCATAGTGAAGGCAAATTATGTAACATGTTGCTTTGCTTTTGTTTTCCTTGAGTGTGTGAACTTAGCCTTTGATGTTTGTAACCCAAGGAACCATGGCTTCTTCAGCAAACCGTGGACAAGCAAAATATGGCTTAGTCTGATGGATAAACACAATCTCTGTCTGCTGCAGATAGTTGGAAAATATTCTACTAAAGTAGATAATATTGCACTAAACACCAATAATCTGATATTTAGAAGACAGCTACTTATGTTCCAATTTTGGATGTATGGATCAACTAGGTGTTTTTTTTTCTTAGTACCTACTTAATTGCGTTTTTCTGTTCCTTTGAATTTCCAACCCTCCTGAGTCATGCAGTTAACAAAATTAACCCAAGATATCGTGTCATCAGATCTAAGCAGTTATATTACAATTCAAGACTATCCTTTCCTGAATTCCCACAGCATTGATGTGCAATCCTGCAAATTTTAGACATTACCCCCACAGCTCAGGCTGCATATAAACATATAATTTCTTGCAAACCCGGCAGTTAGGTATCATCAAATTATTTTGCATACATAGTCAAGTTTGAACAGAGTTTGAAAAATCTTAACTACCATTATAAAACCACAGTAAGTTTTAAAGGTAGCCCTTGACTTACAACCATTTTAGTGACCTTTCAGTTACAATGGCACTGAAAAAAAGTGATTGACAACTGGTCCTCGCACTTATGACCGCTGCAGCATCCCCATGGTCACATGATCAAAATTCAGGCACCTGGCAACCGCCATATACTTACCAAAATTGCAGCATCCTGGAGTCATGTAATCCACCATTTGCAACCTTCCCAGCTAGCTTCTGACAAGCGAAATCAATAGGGAAAGCCGAATTTTGCTTCACAACCGTTGATCCACTTAATAACTGCAGTGATTCAATTAGCAACCATGGCATAAATTGGGGCATGACTCACTTAAGAGCCGCCTTGCTTAGAAATGGAAATTCTGGTCCCAATTGTAGTTGTAGGTCGAGCGTACCTGTATTTGTATAACATAAGGGAGTGAAAAGAGATGGGCAGTTAAGAAATATGAAATATAAACAAACATGCAATCCCCTATAGGTAAAGTTAACAACAGCAGTGATTTGCTTAATTTGGGGTGCAATAGAAGTTGTTGCTTGCTATAAAGCTCTCCAGGGCCCATGGCCTGGTAATTTGAGGGTCATGGTCTGTGTCCTGTGGCGTTTACCCATCTTGTGCCATCAGAGTGGGCACATTTCAGGCCCTCTCAATCAAGCAATGCCACCTGACTGGAGCCAGGAATGAGCCTTCTCAGTTGTGGCCTCTGCCCTTGGGCGCTCTTTCCTCCCCAAGACTGAAATGGCCCCTCTTCTGCCCCCCTTTAGGTGAGCCTGGAGGGTCCTGGGTTCTGATGGTGCTATGGGCTCCCCCAGGGAGAGATTTTGCCCTGTGGTAAGATAGGCAGCGAATAAACTTAATAACTGCACCAGAGATAAATTCCTTGTGTCTGATCACACTTGGCTGGTATTCTATTCTATTCTATTCTATTCTATTCTATTCCGATTCCATTCTTCCATTCCATCCTATTCTTTATTCCTATTCTATTCCATTCTATACTTTACTCAATTCTATTCTATATTTTACCCTATATTCTAGTCTATTTCTCTATTTTACTCTATATCATACTTTTCTATTCTTATTCTATATTTTACTCTATATTCTATTCTATTTTACTATTCTATTCTACTCTATATTCCATTCTATATTTTACTCTATATTCTATTCTACTCCATTTTGATTCCATTCTGTTACATATTCCATTCTATATTTTACTCAATTCTATTCTATTTTACCCTATATTCTAGTCTATTTCTCTATTTTACTCTACTCTATTCTATTCTTACTCTATACTCTATGTTCTATTCTATATTTTATTCTATTCTATATTCTATTCTATTCCATTCCACTCCACTCCACTCTACTCTATTTTAATTTTATGCCTCCTTCTTCAGGATAGCCAACTTCTTTCTCTGCTGTCTGGTGGGGTCTATTTCGAGGGTTTCTTTAAGCTAATTTCCGCTCAGCTTGAGCCCTCCAGAAATGGGGCAGCTTCAGAAAGGCACATAGGAATAACAATAATTTTTTTTAAAAAAGTAACAAATACAATAGGTCTGGATGCAGCCATTCCTGGTAATTCCGTGATTATATTTGCTATTATTTACCCTTGGGGAATGGGGAGGAGGGGGAAAAGGAAGGGAAAAATGGAGCTCAAAAGAAAAGGAACTAGAAGAATCCGCCTGAGGGAAGCGATGCGAGATTTGGCGGGAAGGCGGGGGCGCGCGCAGGGTGGGGGGGCGCTAGGGGAGGAAAGGCGGAGAAGGGGAGGGCGCGGGCGCGCAGGCGCGCGCACCCTGAGGCGAAGCTGGGCGGGAAAAGCAAGCCATGAAGGGGGAAGCGGGCTCGGCCGTCAAGATGGTGCGCGCTTGGGGGGCGCGCGCCTGTGAGGGGGGGTGCGCGCGTATCTCTCTCTCACACACACGCGCACACGCACAGACAGACATATTAGTGACACATACCTGTTTTTAGATACACTGTCAAACACATCTATATACCACATATGGCTATATAGATATAGACATATGGCTATATAGATATAGACATGGACATATAGATATAGTCACATATAGATATAGATATAGTCACATATAGGTATAGACATGGACATATAGATATATAGATTAGATATAGATAAATAGATGCATATATATATATATATATATTTGTTAAAATAATGATCACCAAGAGAATACTTAAACAGAGTTTAATTAATCAACCTAGCTTTCGTCAAAATACATATGACATCGTCAGGGTTAAAAGGCAAGTAAAAAGGGGGACTTTTTACTTGCCTTTTAACCCTGACGATGTCATATGTATTTTGACAAAAGCTAGGTTGATTAATTAAACTCTGTTTAAGTATTCTCTTGGTGATCATTATTTTAACAAATGGATATTCCCAAGAGTCGTATTTTCACTAGTATTCTTAATATATATATATATATATATATTCATTCACATAGATATATATTCATATAGATATATATTCATATAGATATATATTCACATAGATATAGACACATGCACTCACATATATGCACACACATACATATATAGACACTCCCACACACACACACGTGCACACATGCAGTGCTTTTTTTTGTAAAAAAAAAAAAAAGGTGCCGGAACTCACACACGTCATACAACCCGCCTTGCCTACCCTACAAGGTTCCATCCCAAAAAGGTGCCGGAACTCTGTTCTGGGCGTTCTATGACAAAAAAAGCCCTGCACACATGTATCCATATATATGTTTATCACATACCACATATATGTAATATATACATACTTGCGTATATTACATTCATGTGTAGGCATACATGTATAGATAGATAGACGTGAATATATATACCAACATCCACACATCAACATTCATATAAACATGTACACAGATACATAATACTCATACATATGCTTGTAGACCCGTTAACAAACCTCAGATTGAACATCACACTTTGCCCTTTAACTTTGGAAACTTGACTTGTTTTAAGCAAGAGTTTGTGCTGCATTTGAAACCGAGGTTCTTATTTGAATTTCAACTAGCTAATCTAGATATTAAGCCAAGTATCTCTTCGGTAGCATTTGAAGTAGGCCAATGCTTCCCCTAACAAAACTTTATTTAAAAAAATAATTAATACCAGGTATTCTATAAATAATCCAGATGGATCACAATCCAATATCACTTCTATTGATTTAAAACTCATGGTGGCAGTTATGTGGTCCAGTTTGGGGCTGGATCCAGTCTAGATTTTTCAAAGAATCATTGGCCATTGTGTAATTTCACAAGTACACATGGGCTGGGTTGGGCAACGATAATGAGAATGCATAATTTGTGGTTTAGAATGTTGTGGAATCATAGACAGTGTATTTACAAACCATCAATTAAGTAAAAATATAATTTGTCTCTTGGGGTACAGAATTGTTAATGAACACAGCCATTCTGCTTTCTTTTTCTTCTTATTTGTCCTACTTAGTTACAAAGCCTGCTTGTTGTGCATTGCACTTATTATTTAATAGCAAAGTTTATCGATGGCTTATTGATCTCAACTTATAATTATTTCTTTAGTGACTTTGAAGTTACAAGAGCGCTGAAAAAAGAAGACTGGTTCTCACACTGAGCAGTATCCCCACAATCATATAATTGCGATTTGGGCATTTGGTAACTGGTATGTACTGGTATTTACAACTGTTCCAGCATCCCATTTGTAACCTTCTCAGCTAACTTCTAACAAGCAAAGTCAAGGGGGGAAGCTGGATTCGTTTAACCACTGCAGCAAAAAAAAAGTTGTTAAATTTGGTATGATCACATGATAACTCACGTAACAGCCTTATCCTCCAGTAATGGACATTCCTGTCCCAACTGTGTTCATAAGTCAAGGACTAATACTAATTAGTAATATAAATTAGTGTGCATGTAATTTGTTCCCGCCTTTATTATTTTTACAAATAGCTAAAGGTGGAGAACACATCCAACACACCTTTCTCTTCTTATTTTCCCCACAACAACAATCTTGTAAGATGAATTGGGCTGAGAAAGAGAGTGATCACCCAAAGTCACCCAGCCGGTTTTTATAGCTACGGCAGAACTTGAACTCACTGCCTCCTGCTTTCTGCCTGGTGCCTTATTAGATCAAACAAGATGAATATAGCCCTTGTGTCTTCAATTCAGCCCTGGAGTGGTTGGTACAGTATGATGGACCAGTAATAACAATAACAATATGAAGCAGCCCCAGTGGTAATCCGCTTTTGTAACCAATTCTGACGTGTTGTAAATATTTTTGCCAGAGGTAGATTCTTCTCTTCCTTAAAAAAACCCATCACCTTGTCTAACCAGATGGCCAGCATAAGCACATTAAGAACAACCTTACTTCTCTTGATTAATTATATGATCAAAAGACAAACAGAAGATAATAGCTTCTGGGTTGTACAGAATTTCTCCTGTTTAGACATTGGGAAACCAGATCCTCAGTTTGCAAGCTGTGACTGTCTATCCTTCTTTGGTCATGTCAGGCAGTCTGGAACAAAGTGTTTATTTTCGCCTGTGCATCCAAACCAGTTCCACATCTCTCAAAACATCTGGATAATGTAAAGATAAAGTTCTTGGTGCCATACATCTTATTTTAAAGTAAAACAGCCTATCCTAGATCTTGACCTCTTTGTTCATCTTAAAAGTTATTTAAAAAAAAGTCTGGGGATGCCTCACTGAATATCACAAGACTCATTCCTTCCTCCTAAAGAAGAAAAAAAAAACAGAATTTTTTTTAATAAAGCAAGGAAGCAGCTCTGTAGCTAGCAGGAAAGACTGAGATCCCTGTTCCCTTTTGCTGAAAATAAACTAACATAAATTCTCAAGTAACCAAGAATCGCAGCCCTCCAAATACAGCACTGGAATTAGTAAGTCAATGCCCTAACTTAGTTTAAGAAGGCTTCACAGATAAAATAGAGGTAAAAAGTATTGATACGAGATTGACTCCTTTAAACATAACAAAGATTGAAGACCAAAACGTTCTCTTCATACTCTGGAGCTACACCTCTCATTAGCCTTAGCCATTCTGAATCATAGTCAGGAATATTAAGAGATATTGAGGGCATGGATTCCAGACCAGCTGTACAGTAATCTTTCTTAATTTTAACAATTACCACGTACATTAGTGTAATGCATTATTTATCCTTATTGATGTCAGCACACGACTCCGTGCTTTCCTATTGAATGTGGCTAACAGCTGCTGGAGGTGGACTTTCAACGGGAGGAAATTAAATCCGTCCATGTGCCACAGTACCAATTATTTTTAAAAAAAAAATAAAAATGAGAAATGTGTCTTCTTTTAGGATCTCTTCTGTAACCCCTAATTTATCCCATCGTTTCATAGTCCTGAAGCTTCCTGTCATCTTCACTTAATTTGTCTCTTCAGTCAAGCGATCACCTATGATTGTCTATAGCTTCTTAACCACAGTTAGCTTTATGACTACAATGGGCACTAGACTTTCAGTTGCTAAGCGAGATGGTGGTTCAATGAATTGTGTCTGATTTTATGATCTCTTTTGCCATGGTTATTAAGCAAATCACCACTCTTTATGTGGCCATAAAACGAATCCTGCTTCTCCCATTGACTTTGCTTATCAGAAGTCAGCTGTGAATGTTAAAAATGGTGATCATATGGCCCTGGAATGTTGTAACCATCATAAATACATACGTAAATTTTGATAATGTGACTAGAGGGCCACTGTGAGGATAGTGGAAAGTCACTTTTATCAGTGCCATCGTAACGTTGAACAGGCGCTAAACGAACGGTTGTAAGTCAAAGAATACCTCCATGAAGCCAAATGTGGCAAAGTACTTCTGATTGAATTTCTCCAAGACTTATCCAGGTTGTTTCCATCTTGTATTAAAATAAATTTAACGATGCATCCATTGCATCCTTTCATCCCTGTTAAAAAGAAATCAAAATATGGAATGACAATAAATTTAGGCATTATGATAATTTCCTACTTGAAGCAACTTTTTTGTGAAACAGAAAATAGTGTTGCTAGGATTGCAAGAAGCTATTTCAATTCACATTTTACTTCCTGTGTGTTTTGCCAAAGTTTTTAATAATAATAATTTAATTTATATACCGCCCTTCTCCCGTAGGACTCAGGGCGGTGCACAGCATATTAAAACAGATACAAACAAAATACATCAGAAAACAAAAAAACCCCCTAAAACCAAATTAAAAGCCAAATATTAGAAGCTGTGTGTCAATTAAAATTTGCTAAAAATCGTCCCTACCTAAAATCCTCCCTAGGTCAGGCCCGCTTGCTGGAAAAGCCATGTCTTGAGGGCGCGGCGGAAAGTAAGGAGATCCGGAATCATCCGGATCTCGGGGGGTAGCTCGTTCCAGAGGGTGGGGGCACCCACAGAGAAGGCCCTCCCCCTGGGGGTCGCCAGCCTACATTGCTTGGCCGACGGCACCCTGAGGAGGCCCGCTCTGTGGGAGCGTACCGGTCTATGGGAGGGAATCTGTGGCAGAAGGCGGTCTCGGAGGTATCCAGGTCCAAGCATTCTTTATTTCCTGTTGTTTATGCAACACTTATTCTATAGGGTTCGCTTCGCTTGTTTGCTACTTTCCATTTTCCAACATGATTAAGAGCACCTTATAATTCAATGGTTTTAAGGAAGCAAGCCAACCAAATAACACCCCCCACCCCCAGTAATAATTCTGTAAGAATAAGGAGCTGGATGAAGAGAGACTGAATTTAAAAAACAGCTAAGCAATAACAAAAAACGTTTTTTCGCATCTTTTAGAAGGAATGCATATTTGGGAAATTAGTTAGAAATCTGCTAGTTGGCTAGCATACTACACAAAATGGAATCACTATGATAAAAGGAAAAAAATGGTTAAAGAAATCCAAAATTGTAGAGTTGATCTAAGATTGGAACATTAAAAAAATGCCCACAGGCAAGGGTAACCAAACACCAGCAAAACTGATGCTTTTATTTATTGTTCAATTTTTAGCATCACCAGTCCACTAGGCCTCCCATTTCAAGGACCGTTGTACTTTCAGATTTGAGGTTCAAATGAAGACATAAGGAACACTGTTGTTTCTCAAGCCAGAATATGATGCTTACAAATTTTGTCTGCTGTTTTACCAAGCCCTTTCTTTCATTTCAGATTTTAGAATTTCTGATCATTCAACTTCAGGGTAAAAAGGGGAAACAGTTGGAAAGATCTTCCATGCTCGAAGGAACAATCGTTATTTCTTTGGACATCCAAGATTTTCCCCAGCGTGTGAACCAGTCCCACTGTGCTGCCATTAGTGAGTATAATCAGATTTACAGTATATTTCTTTCAGAGCAGTTATTTTTCAGGAAACTAAAAATCAACATGCAATCCCCAATAAATAAACTTAAGGTATAAGTCTATGTTCCTACAACGTGTTGAGCACAAATAATACAGCTCACTTGTAGCCTCACCACAGATTTAAACAAAATTAATAACAGTGGTTCTTTGATTTGTTCCATGCAGTTGCTGCAAAAGGTGATTTGTGCCACAAAATCCTGAATGACCTAACATTCAAAGGTAAATATTTTAACATTATTTGAGATTTAAGGAGTGCTTTTGGTGGATCAGAGCTAATCCAGCCCAACATTCAGTTCTCACAGCACTTAGCCACTAATACATTTTGACCAGGTTTTCCCCAAAACAAAACAAATCTTATTGTGGATTTAATAGATATATGAATTTGCCCAACTTCTGAATATTTCTTGAGTCATCCTGAGGAGATTCTATTGCATTTGAGTGGTTTCCTTATATTGAAGTTGCCCTCAAGAATCAGAACAGGAGCTCTGCTACATTAAAGAAATTGATAATCTTTTAAAGCAAGAAGATTGAGACCTCATTCATTTCTGTGGTTTTTTTTACTTACATACTTTTTTTGTAAATAATACAATACAATACGAGCTGTGCAATATAGGAACAGGAATAGATGGGTTCTGAGATACCTGAATGGACATTGTAGACATTGTAGGAGGAGAGGCAGGTTAGTCAACGTTAGTCCCAAATCAGGAGGAGTCTGGTAGTCCTTTTCAACAAATTTTATTTTATTTTTTTTATAAGATTTTATTGATTTTTTTCTTGTCGTGGTGGGCACATTTACAAATGCAAACTTTTCAACAAATTTTAATAAAAGGCCTAAGCTTTTATGAGCTGCAGCTCACTTCATAAAAGCTTATGCCTTGTCATAAAATTTGTTAGCCAGAAACAGTGCTCCCACTTTCCTTCTGATTTATTCATACAACCATTTCATGATTTTTTCCTCTACAGGCATTTTTCAGAATATCAGTTGGAAAATGCCACATTATATCTTGGCTAATTAATATCTTTTGATTAACGTTTTTGAGCTGGGCAGCTAATACATTTAAACAAAAATTGTGTGTATATACGTGTGTGTGTATACAGATACTCCTGGACTTAGAACCATAATTGGCTCAAATAATTAATATTATTTGAGATTTTAAAAGTGATTTTGGTGGATCCGACCAATCTAGCCTAGAATTGCTGTTGCTAAGCAGGGTGGTTGTTGAAGTGAGTTGCAGCCGATTTTATGACCTTTACTGCCGCGTTGTTAAGCAAATCACTGCAATTTTTAAATGAATCACATGGTCGTTAAGCGAATCCAGCTTCTCCCCATTGACTTTGCTTGTCAGAAGCCAGCTGGGAAATAAGTACATGCCAGTTGCCAAGTGCCCAAATTTTCATCATGACGATACTGTGATGGTCATAAGTGCAAGGACCAGTCATAAGTCACTTTTTTGGGTGCCATTGTAACTTCAAACATTCACTAAACAAATCATGGTAAGTCGAGGACTACTTGTATATTAAAAGGCTGATATGATCTCTTTGCTGCTGCTTGCTTTCTTGTATCAACCGATAGAAGGGAATCTTAAGTATTCATGCCTGTTCTTTGGAGAACAGGAATTCTGTATATGTCTTGCAGTGTTGTCTCATGACACTAAATTTTTCCTTCCACAGAAGTACAAGGCTTATTGCCTTTCTGCCAGAGTGGCGCCTTGCACGGAAGAGGGTGTCCTCATGAATCTCTGCATACCATGCCTTTTCAGCTTTCCTTTCAGGTTAGCCTATACCACAATGAGCATTATTAGAATCCTAGGACTGGAAGGGACCTTGGAAGCCTCAAGGCAGGAGCCTTATACCATCCCAGTCAAATGCTTGTCCATTCTCTTCTTGAAAACCTCCAGCAATGGAGCACCCACAATTTCAGGAAACAGGCTGTTCCATTGATTAATTTTTCTCACTGTCAGAAAAATTCTCCTTACTTCTAGGTTGGATCTCTCTTTAACAAGCTTCCATCCATTGGAGGACTTCCATCCTTGGATGACCTCCAAGGTCCCTTCCAACTTTACTACTACTACTATTATTATTAATTATTATTATTATTATTATTATTATTATTATTATTATTATTATTATTATTATTATTACTTCTTGTCCTGTCTTCTGCTGCTCTAGAGAATAAGTCAATCCCCTCTTCTTTGCAACAGCTCCTCAAATGCTGGAAGACAGCTATCTTGTCCCCCCTTCTCTTTGATAGGATAAACATAGCTAGCTTCCTCAACCACTAAAGGGACCAATGAACATGTGTTCTTGTCCAATAAGATACTTTCCCCACAGAATATACCCTAGTATAAAAACATATGAAAAACTATTGCAAGAATTGGGTCTGTCTAATGTAATGAAAAGAAGTAACTAGGGGCAACATGAAAGCAGTGTTTCCATATTTAGGGGCTACCACAAAGAAGAGGGGAATCAACCTATTCTCCAAAGTATCAGAAGGCAGGACAAGAGGGAATGGGTAGAAACCAATCAGGGAGAGAACCAAATTTCCTGACAGAACAATTAATCAGTGGCCAATGTCAGTGTCAAGAAGGTGGCTTCATTCTGGCAGTGTAAAGTTTGATCTAGACAGAGGAAGAGGAGGAGGACGAGGAGGAGGAGGAGGAGGAGAAGGAGAAGGAGGAGAAGGAGAAGAAGAAGAAGAAGAAGAAGAAGAAGAAGAAGAAGTAGTAGTAGTAATAGTAGTAGTAGTAGTAGTAGTAGTAGTAGTAGTAGTAGTAGTAGTAGTAGTAGTAGTGGAATAGCTTGTCTTCAGAAGTTGTTGCTCCATCATCAGAGATGTTTAAGAAGACACTGGAATTTTTTTCAGAATGGTATAAGGTCTCCTGCCTGAGCAGGAGGTCGGACTAGAAAACCTCTAAGGTCCCTTCCAACTCTGTTATTCTGTTATTCTTTAATAATTTGTTTCTTCTTTCCATCACACACTTCCTCCTCAAAAAAGTCTCTGATTCCACATTGCTGATATTGTTTGTTGAGCAATAAACCTGCTCTGCAGAAGACTGAAGATCAATATCAATGCTAAATCTTTGAATTTGTCCAAATATACAGTATCAACCCTGGTAGATGCAGATAGTCACTGCAGAGCCGGTAAAGAAAGGAGGGTCCTAATTTGCTCTGATCCTGGTAATTCTCAGCCCTCTTCCCCATCACTGTTGCGTGCCTCTGCATTTTTAAAAAGTCAAGTTCCATACAAAGATGCATGACAATGCCATGTTGGGCTTGGTCCAGAAAATAATACGGTTAACTTCTGGACGGTCTGTTCTTAGCATCCTTCAAACATCTGAGGAAGCGTTCTAGAATCCAAATCTTCATAGCTTCCCAGGCACAGGAGAAAAACAACAGCTGCAGCTGTTCTTTCTGGCTTTTCTTGGCCCGATTTCATTTCAGGAGAATGGTTGGGTAGAACAGTTTGGGTGGAGTCTGTTCCAAAATGGTTGCTGACATCATTTTCACCACCTATGACACCTGGGTTGTGAACAGGGGAAAGATTGCAAAAAAATCAATCAATCAATCAAAATCTACAGTCCATTTGACTTCGTTAATGCTGTAACAAGGTAAAGCTAAACCAATATCCGTATTTAGCATCTCAGATTTGTTTCTTTGAAACAAGAGTGTGCTCAATCAGAATAGAGCTGGAAGAGACCTTGGAGGTCTTCTATCTAGTCCAACCCCTTGCTCAAGCAGGAGACCCTATGCCATTTCAGACAGGTGGCTGTCCATTTTTTTTCTTAAAAACCTCCAGTGTTGAAGCACCTACAACTACTGAAGGCAAGCCTGTTAATTGTTCTAACTGTCAGGAAATTTCTCCTTAGTTCCAGGTTGCTTCTTCCCTTGATTAGCTTCCATCCACTGTTTCTTGTCCTGCCTTCAGGCGCTTTGGAGAATAGGCTGACCCCCTCTTCTTTCTGGCAGCCCCTCAAATACTGGAATGCTGCTATCATGTCCTTCTTTTCTCTAACCCAAATCCTGCAACTGTTCTTCATATGTTTTAGTCCCCAGGCCTTTAATCATCCTAGTTGCTCTTCTCTGCACCTTTTCCAAAATCTCAACATCTTTTTTGTTCATGCGGTGACCAAAAGTGGTCACCGCATTACAAAATATATTTTCCTTTACCTTTGGTGTTCACGTTAAAGCTTTGGGTTTGGTGGCCATGCTGAGGGGATGGGTAAGAAATCAATGGAAAAGTTTGAATGACTGAAGGGATGCACTAAAACCTCAGTTAAAGGTTTTGAAAAGGACACATTAACTTTCTCTCTCTTTGGACTTTTCAGCTGCGTGAGAAATCCGAAGTCCTCAAGGAGGACAGTGCCACATTGAAACAGTTCATCCATAGGACCAGCCTCGTGCACACCACGGTAAGCGATTCCCCTGCACTGTGATCTGCTAAATATCGTGTTCCAGGTTTCCTCGGGACCAAATGACTACTTTCCAACTTAAAACCTGCCAAGGGTTTTAAGAAGCTGCATAGGAAGAGAAAATTCTGTCTCTCTATCTCTGAAGCAACTTGGTTACCAGATCCAGCCTCAACCTGTCTCTGCTATTTTTAAATCATTTTATTTAGTAAGGAGGGCAAATCTTATCAAACTCTAGTGGTCGTGATGGATGACTACGTCTGTGGGATTTGATGCAACATATGCTGGTTAGCTTCACATCCCACTAAACCACAGTTTTGCTAATACTTTCAGAGTGTAACTTGGATCTGGGAGTGCATTTTGGGATACCAAATTGCTTTTCCTGGGTGAGAATGTCGCTTGGGGTAACAGCTGAGAAGCTTGTGGGTAAAGTTCAAACCCTGCTATGCCTGAAATCCTGAATAATAATAAGTAATTTAAATGTATCCTAAACAATAAAACAGTCACTGTGGAATGCAGGTAGTCCTTGACTTATAACCATACGTTTGGCAACGGTTTGAAGTTACAAAGGCACTGAAAAAAATTATTTGGGGCCAGTCCTCACACTTACGACCATCGCAGCATCCCCATGGTCACATGATGAAAATTTGGGCGCTGGGCAATCGGAATGCATTTATGAGAATTGCAACATCCTGGAGTCATCTGATCATCACTTGTGACCTTCCCAGCAGGCTTCCGACAATCCAAAATCAATGAGGGAATTTGAATTCATTTAATGACCACATGTTTTACTTAACAACTGCAGTGGTTTGCTTAAGAACCCAGGTAAAAAAAGATTGTAATTTCGGGTCTGTTGCTTAGCAGTGGAAATTCTGCTCCCAAATGTGGTCGTAAACCGAGGACTACCTATCTACAAAGTGTACCAATATGAAGACTGATTCCCTATTGAGATCACTTCCTATATTTCTTATTTCGTGAGTTGTTGATTTTCTGCTCCTCTATTTTTATAGATCAAGTTTCATTACTGTGTAAAAGTTAACGGCAACATCTCCGCTGAGACATATAGGTAAGTAAACATCTACAAAGTTATACCGGCAGCTGTAGAGTAGACTAATACAATTAAACCATATAAATAAATATATATATATATATTGTTCAAAGACTCGATATGAAAAGGCAATCATTAAACACGGCTTAAAACAAGAGTAACAGAAGGAATTTAATTCCAGGTTTGGGGAAAGAGAAATGAAATGTATCTCTCCTCTATAACTTTGGCAGTCCCTTAAAACATTTTCTCTTCATGGTAAACCTTGACTATTATTAAATACAATATCATCATTATTTGATTTAAGAAGTGGGACATAGGAAAATAAAACCTATGTCTTTTTTTTTAAAGGACCTTTGCAAAAAAATGTTCTGTCTGGAACTCTAGTAAGCCAGATTCTGACTGGAACTATGAGACTAAACAGAACAATTGATTCATATCTATCTATCCATTTTCCTTGTAGCATCCCCACGGTCACACGTTCAAAATTGTGACTGTAAGTCAAGGATTATCTTTAAATCACTATGCTTCTCTAAAACCACATAGAATTTTGGGCATGTTTTCAATAGTTCCTTTTGCCTGGACCGCACCTTGAATGAATCCATGGTTTGTTTGACCAGGGTTTGTTACACAATTGGGCAGATTTACCCAAGATTTACCCAAGCATTGAGTCAGCATCACACAAACCTGCACGATGTCTTGTGATATGTAAAGCTTTGATTGCAACAGCAACTGGAAGCGCGGTGAATTCAAAGGGGATAACATAAAGGCTGTTCCTTGTGCTTTAATCGGTGTTCTCATTTATAATTATGATAAATGCAGTGACTTTGCAACATCTCCACATTCTGTGCTTCAGCCCAGAAGGGAAAGTCAGCACATGTTTGCCAGATGGAACCAGGTTACTTACTGATGGGAGACATTTTATGAGGTAAGCAGTTTGGGAGAAAGAATTTCTCCTCCAGAGGCTGACTGATGGAGTCTCATAAATACAAGGTCATCCTTAAAACCAGATTGTGGAAATGGTGCCCAGCATTTGTTCCTGGAATCTGACTAGCTGGGGGGATTTATTTATTTATTGTCAAGATGTAGACGATTCTAGTTGAAGCATGTCTAATTAGTTTGAAATTTGTTAGTCCTTAATAAAGATAAGTTGGGTTTATGCATCCTAAACCAGCCAGATTAATTAGTTTGCCATTGGTTGGAGGCCAATTCCTAGTTACTGTGTGTAGACAAATAAATTACAGTATCTTATCCCTGTGACAATCGGCCTCAGTAGCTGGCTACATCCATCCCCATCTACAAGTAGACCTTGACTTACAACCATTCATTTAGTGACTGTTTGAAGTTACAACGGCACTGGAAAAAAGTGTCATGACCATTTTTCACACTTAATGACCATTGCAGTCACGTGATCCAAATTCAGACGCTTGGCAACTGACATGTACTTATGACGGTTGCAGTGTCTCCTGGGGTCAGGTGATCCCCTTTTGCAACCTTCTGACAAGCCAAGTCAATGGGGAAGCCGGATTCGCTTAACAAGCGCGTAACTAACTTAAAAACTTCAGCGGTTCAGTGAACAGCTGTGGCGAGAAAGGTGGTAAAATGGGGTAAAACTCATTTAACCACCCGTCTCGCTTAGCAACAGACATTTCGGGATGAATTGTAGCCGTAAGTCGAACTGCGGAAATATGATTTGAAAGAGGACACTTAAAAGGGAGTTTCCTAAGCTGCACTGCCCCCTGGTGGATGTGGAAGCAAAAGGTTGGTGGCCTGGTTTTTGTAACAAGCAATGAGGAGGAGAGACACAGAGTCCATCCTCACACCTGTCCTCTTACTTGCACTGCAGATTCCCATGACCTTGTTTAAATTCCATCATCCACACCTAAAGCCCAATCACCATTGTTTCTAGAAATATATCTATATTTAATACGCCGTTTGTTTCTCTGTTTAATATGCCACACATTTGAGACCAGATAGCAATTTGTCAGAAATTGAGCTGGGCTTGGACTAGCAGACCCCAATAGTCCCTTCCAACTCCGTTATTCAATGTTTCGTTTCTGTTTAAGCGTATCTATGGGAAATAACACATGGCAAGACCAATCTAGCATAATTTTGGAATGTGTATACACTTGTTTTACACAGAATACAGAATAACAGAGTTGGAAGGGACTTTGAAGACCTCCCAGTTCAACCCCCTGCTCAAGCAGGAGACCCTATACAGTTTTGTTGTGCTGTGGAGCCTGGATAGTTGTATTTTTATATATCATGTGTCTAGTCTGTTAATTAAGAACTTGCATGTCATGTGGGTACAAAGACTGGTTATAAATCGAAATAAGCAAGTCAGCTCTAGAGGCGCCCTGCCTTTGGCATAGATAAGCAAAGAATCTTGAACTTTGCCTGCACAAACTTTTTTCTTCACATTTTGATACTTGGCGAAGGGCGTTGTCCTTTGGAATCTATGGAATTGAGACTTATACCTCACTTGGGGGAAAAAACATTCTATATTGGCTTTTCATTTGCTGCTTTTTAAAAAAAAAAGTTTGATACTTGCACAATTTTATCCTTGAAAATTATATTTTCATGATGTTGTAAACCATGCTGTGCATTTTAACAGAAAGATGAGATGCTTAAATAAGTGTAATTTTAAAATACTGATATTTCTAGGTATAGGTTCTCCTGCTTGAGCAGGGGGCTGGACTAGAAGACCTCCAAAGTCCCTTCCAGCTCTATTCTATTCTAGATTCTATGCCACCATACTGCAGAATAGCTCTGAGCCATGAATGCATTGACAAAAAACAATTGACTGCCTTTCCTTGCTATGTAATGCTTTCTTTTTCCTTTAATTCTCCTTTACAATCTTTCATCTCCTAGGAATTCCGCTAATTTTATTCTACTAACATACAATAAATATTTTTTTTAATTGTTCTGGTAGCTGAATTTGTTCTACACAGGAATTAATCCACATTTATCTGTGAAGGGTTTGCTACTGTTAACAGGTTGATTTTTTTTTAATGTAAATTGAAAGTTGACTTAACTTCATCTCTCAGTTAGTCACTCTTCAAATATGATGGGCAAACAGGGTTAGATTGCAAAAGAGTGATCTAGTCTGTGATTAATCTGCTATTAATTTACTATTTATTTCCTTCTGTTTTCCATCACCAATCAACCCCTTTCTTTCTTTCTTTCTTTCTCTTTCTTTCTTTCTTTCTTTCTTTCTTTCTTTCTTTCTTTCTTTCTTTCTTTCTTTCTTTCTTCTTTTTTTCTTTCTTTCTTTCTTTCTCCTTTCTTCTTTTTCTTTCTTCCACATTCCATCTTCTTTCTTTCTTTCTTTCTTTCTTTCTTTCTTTCTTTCTTTCTTTCTTGCTTGCTTGCTTCCTTCCTTCCTTCCTTCCTTCCTTCCTTCCTTCCCCCCTCTCTCCCTCCCTCACAGATCAGAATGCAAGGCTGTAATCCCATCCTGTGATAACATTCACCTTGTGACCGGTGGACGAGTCAGTCTGTTCATCCCAGATGAATTAGTGGACAGAGGTTTCACAGGTGCCTTGAATCTCCTACCTGCGGCGTCCCTCTGTCCCTGCCAGAAATCTTTCCCTAACCAGCCTGCAAAGATACTTGCTGCCTCTGTATCCTTTGCTCTGATCAGAGATCAATAAAGGTGAGTCCAGGGATGCTTTAACCTGCAATTGGCCTGGGTTTGCAAATACGGGAACACTGCTATCTGTATCTCCCCTAGTTATAGTTTATAGTTATATCTATATATAACTATAGTTATATATATAAAACTACGTATAACTATATATATATATATATATATATATATATATATATATATATATATATATATATATATATATATATATATATATATATATATATATATATATATATATATATATATATATATATATATATTTCTAATAACACTAAAACTAAAACAGTGACTCCTGGGTGTGATCATCTTTCCAAAAACAAACTGTGAACACCAGGAGTAT